ATGCCAGCTTTAGAAGGGTCCTTGCTAGATGATCCGATAGATAGGTCATTATTATCAGAGCAAGAAGCCAATAATTTAGCTATGCGAACTGAAGCAGATCCCATGACTCTAGTATATCGGGACTGTCTCTTTAGTAAGGAAGTATTCTATGCCAAGAATGTGGGTATCCGGTCAAGGGATCATATATTATCTTTGGTCGAATCAGAAAAGAAAGCTCTATGCCCCATAGATACTAAGCGCTGGATCCTATCAGATGGGATCACCTCTTTGCCATATTTCCATTGGCGTAATAAAGCTTATAATAATATGGTCAAGGCTGGTATACCCCAAGAAGAGGCAGAAAAAAGAGCTATAAGGGCCAAGCTCCCAGAGAAGTATCAAAACAAATATACATCTCACATATCTAGCTCATCGCCATAAACTAGACTAGTGATATGATATATAGCAGGCCATATACCAACTTGAAACATTCCTACCGCCTTCTCGCAATACTTGCTCGAAGCCAGATATAAATAGTTAAATATATTTGTTATCAATATATTTTTTTCAATATATTTTTTTTCAAATTATCTATCTTTTTTTCGAATGAAATGAGAAAAAAAGGACTCTACCCAATATAGATACTGCACCACATACTGCGCCCTGGTGACATGGTGTCCCACCTCAGCAATTAGTTTTTTTAAAATATATTTAATATCTATATATAATACTAAAAATGGTACATAAAATACATAAGCACCAAGCAAGACTGAGTGAATATTATTCCCAGTATAAAAAGCTAAAAAAGATTGTAAAATCATTCTGCCTTCTCACAATACTTGCTCGAAGCCAGATATAGTTAGTTATCAGGTTTTTTAATATATTAGTTAACTATATATCTTTTTTTAAGCTTGCAAAAAAAAAGTGATTTCCAATTAAGAGCTAAGAAAAAAAAGGATTAAGGAGCAAGCTTAAAATAATAAATACTATCTGCTTTCTCGTAAAGCCTTACCCGCTTTTTTCTCATAAATTCGAAAAAAGATATATTCAAATTACCTATATATCTGGCTTCAAGTAATGAAAATGCTCGAAAACGCTGAAGCTCTTTCTCTTGCTCTAAATACTTAGTTAGCAACTTCTCACTAAGATCATTAATTTCGGCCTTAGATCTAAGTGCAGAATATAGTTTTTCTTTAAGCTCCCATTTCTCATAGGGGCAAAGTACATTAATAAAAGATAACTATTTTTTTTCGAAAATATATCGATAATACCAAAAATATATTGATAATATATCGATAATATATCGATAATATACCGATAATTTTTTGAAAAATTTTTGTTTATTTATAAAAAAAAAATTGCCTCGGTATTTACGTTCAGATGCCACCTCCCTATCTACTGAAAATATTCAGAATATTATTAAAGCCAAAAATTCAATGAAGCGCCACCAGAAGCTATGGCTAATAAATACAAAATTTCAATACAATGAGTATATCAAATTTGGAGAGGAGATCATCTGCCAATAGATTCACACTTTTTTCTCATAAAAATTTGGATAACAAATCAATTCCGCCTCTTGACTTTGTCAAGGAAGATGAGATCAAAGATCAAGAAGCTGAACCAATTTTGTCTGAGCCAGGCTTAGAAGGTTTAAATATTAGCCAAGAAGAACTAATTGTATTTTATGAAAAAGAAGCTATTCGAGATAAAAAAAATATAGCCAAACTTAAATCTATACTATCTAAGTAGTTGATCCAGCTCAT